TCTTCTGTGAGGTTTGGTTTCCTCCGCCTTTTCTTTACCTCTTTGCCTTTTGGCTGCGTGCAAGTGGGTCTTTGTGACACACGGGGATGGGGGCAGCCAGCGCTCAACCTGTCATCCACGTGGCTGGCCTTGTACGTAAGAGGTGACGAACAGGTCGGGCTTTCCTTCCTAAGGCGTACTTCTTTTTCTTTTTCTTCTGTCTTTTTCCGCCTTTGCGCTCTGATTTCCGGTGTGACAATATATAGTCACGAAGTTATCAAAGCGCAAAGGTGAAGAAAACAAAGGGAAGAAAAAAGATATCAATTCATTTTTTATCTAATTGCTTACAACTCCCTCTGTTCAGAACCTTTTGCGTACAAGGCTGCCCTCGTGGATGTGGTCGAGGGGCGGCTGCTCCCACCCCCGTGTGTTATATTGACCCACTTGCACACAGCCAAGAGGCGAAGAGGCAAAGAAAAGAGGAAGGGATCAGCCAAATATAAGAAAACAGCGGGCAACAAGATCCTGGATCACAAGCCCCACATCCAAGTACCGCCCCGAACTTCACAGGCCAAACAACGGGACAAGACCAACCAGGATATCACAATACTTTTTGCCTGCAATAAAAGAAATCCCAAATACATATCTATGTACAGCAGATGGCCTTGTTCGTCATCAAGATGCGGGCATTCCTATTCCTAAACCATTCATGCCCTCGTAGGCCGAGCAATGAAAAAACCCGGGTCACTGGTCCCACATGAAAGCACCGCTACGCTCAGCAAAATAGACCGAGCTGAACAACGGGACAAAACCAACCGGGGTGCAGACAAGGTTGTCGAAAAACAAACATAACAGATCATAGATGACAAGTCCCACATGCAAGCACCGCCTGCTACATAACCACACTTGAAAAAACGGAACCGTAAAACGAAATACCCCCAACAATGGGGAAGAGTAAAGCAAAAGAAAGAATGAGAAGGATAGAAAGGAGAATTGGAAAGAGTATATGTATATACATCTGTTTGTGACGCTATATATGTATACGATATATACATATATATATACACAGAGAGAGAGAGAGAGAGAGAGAGAGAGAGAGAGAGAGAGAGAGAGAGAGAGAGAGAGAGACAAACACAAACTCGCTCATGATCGTCCAGTGCGTAGATAAGATTGTGTGGATTCCCATGGATGTGTGGCGACCCTTGAGATTGATTACAGTTAATCCCAGGCATTGGATGTCTCATTCTTACATCAGTATGATTTACTATTCTTTCTGCGACGCAGAATAGAGATATCGTAAACTCCATGTGGTGTTGGATTGCAGGTGATACGAAGCATGAAGGTGTGTCCAGTGTGCTTAAGTTTTGTGGAAACAGTTCTATGTTGTGCCGTTTGGAGGCGGGCATGTTATTCGATGAGGGGTGGGCATTTCAATTCCCGCCCATTTTCATGATGAGCCCTATGTGGGTGGTGGAAATGAAACTAGACATCTGTTTTTGCTCTCACTGTTTTTTTTTTTTTTTTTTTTTCCTGTGCATCTGTGCGTGGCTTTCTGTCATTCATCTTGCCTTTTTCCAGGTGCGTCTGTGCGGAAGCTTTCTTAAAACGAGTGAGAAAGCTGTCCTGTACTGACCGTCATCATGATTGCCAGACCGAAATGCGACATCTTCAGCCTCATGATAGAGAACCCGAGGATCGTGTTCTCCATTCGTTGGATTTATTCCAAAGAGTTAAGGTAACAACTTACTGTGAGAGGGAGTGATGCATAATCGCTGGCTACCCTCTTCCCACGAATACAACGTACGGTCATTATAGTTGTATTTGGGGTGTATTTCAGTACAGTTATAGTATTTGGGGTGTATTTCAGTCTTGAATACCAGCTGTAATGACCGTATGCTGTATTCGGGGGAAGAAGGTAGCAGAGGGATGGGTGGAATGATCTGCACAACAATTTCTCAAGGGGATGGAGGTCTAGGCCCTGAGCTGCATTTGCTGGACTGTTTCTTGTCCTTTTCTCTATGCTCTCTTTTGCACTTAAGGCTAGAGAGGGTCTGCTTTATCTTATTTTTCTGCTGGCCCTTTTTTATCCTCGCTTAGAGAGGGTCTGCTTTTTCTTGTTTTTCTGCTGGCCCTTTTTTATCCTCGCTTTAAATTAAATGTTGTGGTTTTCGTCCATGGTAGCCGTCATCTGGCAAATCATTAGTCATGTCAAGCTCTCGTTCCTTTCAGGTTGCCTCATGATGGAGAGTAGTCTGTCAAGTCGAACTCCATCTCTCGGGATGATGGGTGGAAAGTGCCCACGCGGAAATCTTTTGGGTATGGGCGCCCGCGAAAACCGAGACTGGTACTATGCGCCCGCCGCCCAGGGAAAACGATCATAGGGGTTGGGCCCTTCCCGAGGCGGTTTTCCCTGGGCCCTACTGATGCCCCTGGATCGTTTCCCCCGGGTGCTTAGTAGTCGTTTTCTTTTTCAAGCGCCTGAAACCGGAAAGGTTTCCGCGGCTGCACTTTGCAGCAATTATCCCCCATCTGGGCCACCTGTCTGTGCATGTTTTATTTCATCTGTTTCAAATTGGTGTTTTTGTTTGAGTTACCCACTCACGGGCCAGTCTTGTACTTTGTTTGCCACGCGTCTTACTATGGTCTTTAAGTTAGCATTAGTATCATAGTAACAGTATGTGTTGGTTGGGCCATAATTAATGATGACAGATGGAATCACGTTTTCTTGAATTGAGGATTCAATCACTGAACTGGTGCATACTTTTTCTTTTGATTCGAACTTTTTGTACTTATTTAGGCCCTCCTGGAGACGGTAAGCCCGCGGGCCTCTCTCCTCGTTGTCCTCAAGATGCCAACTCTGTGCGATATTACTGTATTGCTTGCGTCCTTGGGAAACTACTTGGCAGTCGCAAAAAGAGTTTGGAAATACACTTCAGGCGAAAAAACAATTTCAAATTATTATGCTGCTTAAAGTTTCTGGTATTACCGTAACGGTGTTTTGTTAGGTGTAGGGGATGCATATGATGCAGCATTGATGCTGATGTCGTTCTATGGAATCTATGCTGTGCCCGCACTGCAGGTCGAGCCCTCCATTTTGTCTTATCGAAGGCAATACGTATTCTAGCATTCTGTCCTTTGGGACATCCGTTAAAATTGGAACGATACAGAGAAGATTAGCATGGCCCCTGCGCAAGGATGACATGCATAAATCGAGAAATGGTCCAAACAAGAAAAGAAAAAAAAAGTAAAGAAAAGTATTCTAGCATTCTGTTTAATATCTGTGATTGCAGCCCTTAGAATTATAATTATAATAGTATGCCATAATAATTGTAAAGAAAAGAAAACAGCCACACGTTGATTTATGTGCAAAATAAAATACCGAGCAGAAGTGGAGGAGAACGGTTACCACAAGGTGTACTATGCTTGTCTGATGCGGAGGGTATTTTGACGTAGTGTTTGCTGTTGCTGGATGCCATTGGGAAACTTAGGAGAGGGTTTCCACAGGATGGATGTTGCTTGCAAGCACCGAACTTGGTGTGTTCACACGTACGGGAAGTTACGGGGTTAAATGAACGTCCTCTTACCGGTTTCCCGGGAAAAGAATGCACGGTCATAATGATTATCAATTTATCACTGTATCGCGACTGGAAGCTGACTGTGCCCCAAATGCAGCTATAATGACGGTGTGACATGTTTTCTACTCGGGAGAAGACGTGACCACCCTGATTCTGGTGGTGGATTGGGGTAAATCAACACACACCCTGCTATGGAAACAACCCATGGATGGACCCCTACTCCGTGTACTCGAGACACCTTGCATGCTACATAGGGTGCTTACGGGGTTAAATGAACGTCCTTCTACCGGATTCCCTGGAATAGAAGAGGCACGGTCATTACCACTGTATCTCGACTGGAAGTTGCCCCAAATGCAGCTATAATGATGGTGTCAAATGCGTTCTCCTCGGGAGAGAAGAAGGTAGCAACCTGATTTCAAAGCTAATTTCAAATTGCATGTTCGCCGACTCTCCCTACCGCTCTTCTGCCTGGCATGTGAATTCGGCGCGGTCGGAGTTGGCAGTGTCTGAAAAATAGCCGGGGGAAACGTCTACTTGTCTTGTGCGCTTTCGTCAATGGATTGCAAAGCTGTCACGGACTCACGGCGCTGACATCAGAGGAGTGTATAAGGTGGTTGACATGGCACTTGTGTGTGCTCTGGATTGCAAATTTGGCAAGTGGTGCAATGTTCATGGTGGGACTTGGGAAAGCGGAAGAATTAAGCTCTCAATGGAAGTCTGCAGATTCCGGACTTTGTCTCAACTGCCTCCCCGTTTGACGATAACTGTAATTCTTGTCAGTTTGAGTTCGCTGGCCTGAGAAAATGCTGTGGAGTCCTGGAGAGTGGTAGTCTAAGAGCTCATTTTTGCGCCGGAGTACTTGAGGTAGTCTTCACCAGCATTGTACACGGTGTTAATGGAGGAGAATGTGTCCGAGTCGACTGAATTCAGATTGTTCCTGTTTAAATTTGGTGTTGTTGCCGTTATTTTTACAGCTCTTTCGTGTGGGGCGGAGGGTGCTACAGAAAAGCTGTCTTTGATGAAGGGCAGGGATGTCGAGCTGTTGGCACCAGTGAAGATGGCCTTGAGAACGGTGTCAGGAAGGTGTGCAAAGAGGAATCACAGTCGTCTGATGATGATTCCTCCAAGGGATCATCCGGAAGAGCGCATTCTCCTAAGTCTTCGTTATGCAATTGTGAGCATACAGCTCGCTGCTGCTGTGAGACAGAGTCGCCGGCTGTTGACATGGGGATCTCAGAGCTGAGCGAGGCCATGTTCAGAAAACTTTTCAACACCAACAATGCTTTCGCAATGGTGCAGGCCGGGTGAGGTCTCACTACCTGGACTCTCGACTCCATGGACCTGGCTTCAAGCAATTCTCTGATTCAAGACCAGAATCTTGTGTGAATCTTGTGTGACTTTTGGCGTGCTCTTTCGAAGGAATACGACCTGTGAACCAATGCTGGTCCCCGGTCCGACCAGGGGGCCCTACTCCATCCAGAACCCTCTCGGTTGGACTGACTGGGATCGACCCCAGTGGGTCATGGCTTTAGAGGGGGGAGGGGGTGCAGGGGAACTGGGCTGAAAATCCTCCCCTGGCCATCCCGAAGGGCCTCAAGAAAAGGTTCCAGCAGGCCCCGTTTCTTGAATAGAAAAAGGCGGCCGATCTCTCAAGATTGGCCACCCTTTTGAAAGCACTGTGGGCGGGAACTCCCACCTTGTGTTGCCCCCATTCGCCCTCCCGGTACCCACTTCCTCGCATCTGTTCGCCGTCAAGATGCCATTGATAGCTCATTTGCGCTGTGCTTGTTCGTTGGTCACGTCCGCTCCACTGATGTGACTGCCTCCATTTTGTTTCTCTCTTGATCCCCTTCCTCCCCCCCTCTGCTTCCCTGTTTTGAACCACTTCATTGGAACATGCTCGCAATATTCTCAACATGGTATGCTGTTTCAGCAGGTCTCCCTCTCAGCCTCTCAGGCCCATTTCTAGCTGTCTTGAGTTGTTCTGATGTAATCTTCCATTCCTCTTTTTCTATGGCGATTCTGCTGTTATAAACCTGCTAAGTTGATTTGACCTCTTTTCAAGTTTTCATCCAGGCAGTGATTCTACTCCCTGGGATGTGCTCGACTCTCCCGAACCTTCTTCCCCTGAATAGAAAGTACAGTCATCACAGCTGTATTTGGGGTATCTCGCAGTTTGAATACAGCTATAATGACCGTATGTTGTATTCGGGGGAAGAAGGAAGTTCGGACGTCTGGTGCTTCTCTGGGGCCACACTGCGGCTCTCAAATTACAGTGTTGGCTGGCCTTTGTCCATTATGTCTCCTTCCTCTCTCCTCTGTAAAACTTGACCTATACATAACCGTTAAATGCTGCTGCAAGTCCGTTTGGAATCTGCTTCACTCAAAGACTTTGGAACATGCTTCGCTGTCTGAAAAGGTCTCGACTCTCGACACTGTTATCCTTTTTTCATTTATTTTTACCTTTCTCCACACATGGTCTCCATTCCTGACTACGCTTGGTACTGAAAAATTAATTGAATATAAAACGTGCACCATGCTACCCTGCCTCTTCGTTGTGAAGCCTGTATGGCATTCTGAACTTGAATGGATTCTCTGTTGGAGCCTCGGCTCCTGTTATCAATGTGTCACGTCCCGATTGTAAGAGAAATAATATTATGCAGAAGTTGATATGCACAGAATATAATGTGTGCTGTGAACAGGATCTGTCTGCCCCCCCTTCCCCATCTCTCAACCCTGTTCATATTACTTCATAATCATTTTCCTTTTTGTCTTCTGCAGGTCGAGCTCCAGCAAGATTTTCATGGCCATTGTCTTTCAATCCTCCCATCATGGCCCGCATGCATCTAGCCTGGAACCTTGTGACATCTAGCCTGGAACCTTGTGACACTGGTCTCCGGATCATGGCCATCCAGTCACTGAAGTAGGAGGCTATTCCTGCAAACACTCGTGGAAAAGAAAGAAAGAGGAAAACGAATCAAAATGGTCAGTGCAGGTGAAACAAGCATAGTAGATTATGCCTGTTTTGCTTTTCGCATAGGTATCAAAGTTTGTTATCGTGGGCATTATGCTTGACTCCTGTACGGGTGCTATGACTGGCTTGCCTGTGCTTTACAGATTGCGCAGCCAAGCCGTAAACAGCAACAAGCCGCAATGGTATTGTCTTCCGAGTGCAAGTCCCTTCCAGGTAGGTTTCGAGTCGTGCCAGTGTGGTGGTATTTTTCTCCTCCTCTCTTCTGAATCGATGTTTTTGATGCCTTAGAATTTATAGAACATTTAAAGGTGTTGGTTGCCCGGTTTGTGCAGAGTCTCAATCACGCTCCGGCTGACAAGGTGCCCGGCATCCCTGTGGATGAATGCGGCGGTTGGCTATAGCAGGTGTGATTGCCCCTTAAGTTTGTTTGGCAATAAAAATCTACGGAATCCGAATGTGGATCCACTGTCATCAGCGCTCTGAACATATGTCTTGAAGCAAATGAAGCAAATGGGCAACCTCTGTTTGTTTTTGGGACGATTTAAGATTTTTGTTACAGCTTCGCTTTTATGACTGGAATCAGAATGTGATGCATCCTGAATCCGTGAGTGTGTGCCACTGTGGAAAAAACTTTGTGATGGAATTGGGACGATTGGCTCTTTGCGAGTGCTGTCTCAGCCAAGAGTCAGGGTGGGTGGAGGTGGGGGAGCACCCGTGAAGCCTCTCTCGATACCAGTGAGCACACTGTCAGGCAATGTTTTTCTATTCTGGGAATGCAGTTCAATGCATGGGCACGAGTTGAAAAGTGTCATTTAGTGCTCAAGATCTAAACACCCTCAGGCTGGTGGTTATGGGGTAATTTAGCCCTCGGCACTGTCGGCAGCAACGGCATGATGTTTGAAGCGGTTTCCTATGCTGGTAGGCTGGCACCAGATGCAGTTCGGGGCCGGCCCTCGTTTTGTCATATCTAGCGGGCAGTCCAGATGCAGTTCGGGGCCGGCCCTCGTTTTGTCATATCTAGCGGGCAGTCGATTTCTCATCCCTAGCCAGCTCCCTCGGATGTGTGATAGAGGCTCAATTGGCTTCGTGATACTTCTGACATGCAGACCGTGTTAGCTTCTACGTCCTCCAGGCAAGACTTGGTTGTGGCAGCTGCTATTTCTCTGGCATGATGATGTTCTGCAGTATCATATGGATTAGTGCCCCAGAGGCCTGCCTTAAGCCGCTTTCTCAGAGGTCGGTGAGTGGTTTTGACGATCCCTTAAACCGCTAGTACGCGACCCCAGCCTTGCAGTTGGAAACTTGTCGCCACTAGAAAACGAGCCTCGGGCCAAAATGTCAGACGTTGGGCCTCAGGCTGCCGTTGATAAACTGGATTGGCGCTAAGGTGGAATCCGTGTAGTTGGATGGCATAATGGGACAACGTTCGCACCCAAAGGCAGGAACGTCCAGTTTGGAAGAAGCAATAGTACCTCAGTCAAGGGGGGGCCGAGGCCGGGTTGCAAGAGTGTCATTTGGCAACCATGGTTGATGGAACACATTACCTGGCAGTGATGCTGCCGATCTTCCCAGAGGTGAGGTTGGGAGGAGCTCTAGCTAAGCAGTGTAGCTGGAGGGTGAAGGAGAAGACCTCCATGGGTATCGAGTACTAGTAAAGTGTAGGCCTAGGCTAGAAAGAAGGGATCTTAGGGGAGAGGAAGAGAGAAGAGGTGTGGAAGACTTTGGTTTCCCCTAAGGCTTGTGTAATTCTTCTTCTTCTTTTCTTCTTCTTCTTCTATCCTCGTCAGTCTATTCAACTCTCTCTCCCTCTCTTTCCACTTCTTTGGAGTTCAGCAAGTCTTTCATTTCCTCACGTGAGTTTTGCATTGTGGATGAAGTAATCAGGAGTAGGATCATAACACTTGTTTTGTTTTGCAGATGGCACTTTGCTGCATTTTCACCAAAACGGAACATGCAGTCTACGAGTTTGGGCTGATCGCAGGGCTGAATCAAGTGGTGAGTCACAAGTTCAAAGCTCTTTCACTGTAAGCATGTGGTGGATGTTCAGCACCTGGTGTTGTTACCCTTTTTTTTTTTTTTTTTTTTTTTTT